CTGGTGGCTCACGTCTGAAATCCTAGCTACTCAGGAGGCTGAGATCTGAGAATCGCGGTTCAAAGCCAGCCCGGGCAGGAAAGACTGTGAGACTCCTATCTCCAATAAAACCACTAGAAAACCGGAAGTGGCGCTGTAGCTCAAGTGGTAGAGTGCTCGCCTTGAGCTGAAGAGCTGAGGGCCAGCACCCAGGCCCAGAGTTCAAGCCCCATGACCGACAAAAAAAAAAAAAAAAAAACCTTCAACAAACCTTAACAGATTTTAGAAGGTATGGAATTCAGAATTTCTACAAAATATCATCCATTAAGATTATTAGATACAGGGCTGGGAAGATGGCTCAGTGGTAGAGTGCTTGCCTTGCATGCCTGAGGCCCTGGGTTCGATTCCTGAGCACCACATAAGCAAAAAGAAAAAAGCTGGAAGTGGCGCTGTGGCTCATGTGGTAGAGTGCTAGCCTTGAGCTGAAGAGCTGAGGGACAGCGCCCAGGCCCAGAGTTCAGGCCCCACAACCGGACCCAAAAAAAAAAAAAAAAGATTATTAGATACAGCAGGGCTCTGGTGGCTCCTACCCTCCTGAGATCTGAGGATCGAGATTTGAAGACAGACCAAGCAGAAAAGTTCTTGAGAGCGGGCACTGGTGGCTCATGCCTGTAATCCTAGCTACTGAGGAGGCTGAGATCTGAGGATTACAGTTCAAAGCCAGCCTGGGCAGCAAAGTCCATTGGACTTTTATCTCCAACTAACTACTCAGAAAGCACTGTGGCTCAAGTGGTAGAGCACTAGCCTTGAGTACAAAGAGGCTCAGGGACATCACTCAGGCCCCAAGTTCAAGCCCCAGGACCAGGGGGATTGTACTGCAAAGGTGAAAAAAAAATATTGAGAAGAACCTTAATGTCTGGTTGGACACTGCCAAACTGTCTAAGACACATGACACTGGAGTCACGTGAGAGGAGAAAAGCTGGGCAGAGAAAGCTCTTGCAGCAATAGTGCCTGAAAATTTTCCAAATGCGATCAAAACTAGCAACTCACAAATTTATTAAGTCTCAGATGCATAAAAGCAGAGGAAAACATACAGAGATACACCTGCAATGGACAAAAAAGTCAGAGAAAATGCTGAAAGCAGATGTGGAAATGGGGAAGGAACGAGAGCACCACTGGCTCACACGTAGCTATTCAGGAGAGTGGATCTGAAGATCAGGGTTCAAAGACATCCTGGACAGGAGACTCTGTGACACTCAGCTCCAGTTAGCCACCAAAAAAGAGGAAATGGAGCTGTGGCTCAAAGTGACAGAGCACCAGCCTTGAGCACAAAAGCTTAGGGACAGCATCCAGGCCCCGAGTTCAAGATTCAGAACTAGCAACGACAACTACAACAAAATAGATGATAGCTGCTTTCCATCAGAAAATAAAGGCGACGAGGCCAGGCATGGTGGCTCACACCTGTAATCCTAGCTCCTAAGGAAACTAAGATCATGATCCAGGCCAGCCCAGGCAGAAAAGTCAGAATCTGTCTCAGGAGAGGGAAGCCAGATGCAGGGGTGTCTGTGACTCCAGCAAGGATGGAAAGCCTAAAATTAGGTGGAGTGTTGCTCTGACAGCAACACTGCTGCATATCTCCCGGACCAGCTGTGACATACCACCATCCCAGAGACAAGAGACGGGCCATGTTCAGCTCATATATCTTAGCTAAGCAAAAATTTTGTGTGTGTGTGTGTGGTAGGGCTTGAACTCTGGGCCTGGGCACTGCCCCTCAGCTCTTCAGCTCAAGGCTAGCACTCCACCACTTGAGCCACAGCGCCACTTCTGATTTTCTGGTGGTATATTGGAGGAGATAAGACTTTGCTGCCCGGGCTGGCTTTGAACCATGATCCTCAGATCTCAGCCTCCTGAGTAGCTAGGATGACAGGCGTGAGCCACTAGTTCCGGCTTCTCTCTGAGAATTTAAAAAGACCTCAAGTTCTGTGCAACAAGAGAGAAGGAACAGAGTGGAAGAGCACGCAGAGCAGAAGTAAGGCTCTGGTCATAAAGACAGCAGTCCTAAACTGCAGACCATGGAGAAGCTCACGCACTGGAGGCTGGAGGCCTTCCTGCTCTTTAAAAGGTTGAAGAGTTAATGCAACCAGCACAGCTATCTGGATACAAAAGTGAGTCTATTTCTTCCCATCTTATTCCTATCTGGTGGTAGTCAATTACTTTTATGTGAATTCATACCATCGATTCCTGTTATTTTAGGTAACAAGAATCATGTCTTAAATCAAATTCTTCCCTACTACAGAATAAAAGGATCTTCTTAATTCTTGGGGCTGAAAGCAAGTGGAAAATTTTTGAATGAATTTGTCCTTTACAACTATGCTTCTCCATTGGGATAATATTTCTAGGCTAGGGCAGTGTTCAAAACTGTGAGGCAATGCACAGTAACAAGTGGATTTTAATGGATTTTATTAAACTATATATATAGCATGTCTATAAATACATACAATATCCATACCCTTACCCTTAATGTGTATACTATTTCTATTCTGGCTTATTCTAAAGTGGTGTGTGCGTGTGTGTGTGTGTGTGGTGTGTGTGTGTTGCCGTAAATAAAATTCAGGGCTCATTTTGTTTCAACCCCTCCTTCCCCTCAGTCACGGGGTTTGAACTCTGGGCCTAGGCGCTGTCCCTGAGCTTTTTCCATTCAAGGCAAGTACTTTACCACTTGAGCCACAGCACCACTTCTGGTTTTCTAGTTAATTGGAGGTGAGTCTCACAAGACTTTCCTGCCCTGGCTGGCTTTGAACTGCAATCTTCAGATCTCAGGCTTCTGAATAGCTAGGTTTACAGATTTGAGCCACCAGAGACCAACTTCCACCCCTTTTTCTTATCAAGAAAGAAAGAAAGAGCTGGGTACTGGTGGCTTACGCCTGTAATCCTAGCTACTCAGGAGGCTGAGATCTGAGGATAATGGTTCAAAGCCAGCCTAGGCAGGAAAGTCCATGAGACTCTTATCTCCAATTAGCCACCAGAAAACCAGAAGTGGTGCTGTGGCTCAAGTGATAGAGCTCTAGCCTTGAGCTGAAGAGCTGAGGGACAGCGCCCAGGCCCAGAGTTCAAGCCACATGACCGACCAAAAAAAAAAAAAAAGGTTTTTATACAGCTGATGTTCAGGTAACGAGTACATTTCTTTTTGGACAATGTCACCTCTTCCCTTTTTCCCCTTACTCTGGACAGTCCATTTGAAGACCTGAGGTTCAAATACTGCATACTTAAGTAGGGCTAAATGCTCAGTAGTAGAGTGCCTGCCTAGCAAGTATAAGGCACTAGATTCAATCATCCCTAGGACCACAATAGGCACGGCTGGCTCAGCCTATGATCAGAGCTACTCGAGGTTGAAATCTGAAGACTGTGCTTCAAAGTCAGCCCAGGCAGGAAAGTCCAAGACTACTTCCAATTAATCAGGGGCCTGGAAATGCGGCTTAGTGGTCGACATACACAGAAAAAGCCTGAAGGGGAGCTGTGGCTCAAGTAGTAGAGTTCTAGCCTTGAGCAAAAGAAGCTCATGGCCAGTGCCCAGGCCCTGAGTTCAAGGCCCAGGACTGGCACTGGTACGGACGCACGCACGCAAAGGAAATGGAGCTGCGGCTTAAGTGGTACAGCACCAACCTTGAGAGCAAAAGCTGAGTGAGAGCCCGAAGCCAAGTTCGGTACAACATAAATAAAACAATACTTAAACGAATGAACAGGCAGAAGGCACAGACTTCCGTCGGTCTCGTAGGAGGACGTCTTCCTGGAGGCTGTCTTCCCCGGGTTCAGTGTTCCAGTGCCACAGTTCACCTGCACGTCTTCACGCGGGCGGGCGCGAGGCCTGTGCCCGGGCTCCCGGGGCGCGCCTCCCACCACCGCGTGCCCCCCACCACCGTGTGCTCCCGTCTGGTCTGTTTACAACTTTCAAGGTCAAAGTGTACCCTGAAGGACATGGGGGGAGGGGAGGAGTTGACACCTTCAGCTGGACTTCCAGGGCCCCGCTGCGTCTTTCCCCCTGACGGCCGTCGGGCCCGGCCTCCGCGAGGGGCCTGCCAGTGCTCCACTGGGAGCGGCCACCTTCCCCGTCCACCCTCCGCGGCCTCCGCCCCGACCGCGCTGGCTGTGGCCGTGGGCCGTCAACGAGGCCCGCGGGAAAACCCGGAAACTCGCGTCGTGCTTAAAGGAATGCCAGGCATTTTAAATGAACACCAACCCCGTTCTTCCCACAGTCTTCAGCCACGGATGGCGCTGAGTCACCACCCACATCAAGGCCAGACTAACTAATGCTAATATAGCAAGATGGCAATTAAAAAAAAAAAGGAGAGAAAAAAGGTGCCAGCCAACCCACAGCCAGCCCGCGACGGCCACGCACCTCGCGCCTTTTAAGGGCTCGATGGGCGCGAGTCCGCCAAGCGCTCCCGCAGCCCGCCAATCACCGCGCCAATCACTTCCGCCAGCCCCGCCCCGCGCTCCGCCCCGGCCAATCACGGGGCCGCTCTCTTCCCCCGCCCGTCCGCACCCACCAGCCGACAGCGCCCAGCCTTCAAACGTCGCCAGCACCTGGAGGTGCGACCGCGGACGGGAATATTTTTAGCTCCGCGGAGAGCAACTCCGCCTCCAGCTCCGCCCCCTCGCCACCCCCAATGGGAGACGGAATTTCCGTCGCGTCACCGCGCGGGCAGGCGGGAGGTATCCAATCAGCGGTCGGGGCGAATTGGCGTAATTAAAAAGCGGCGGAAGAAGGTGGGAGGGTCATGACGCAGCGAGTTTCGGCCGTGGCTTTTCCCGGGGCGTCTCGGCGTCCCTTTTATTTCCCTTTAAAGTAGAACGTCGTTCCCACGCACCCCCCTCCCCTCCACCGCGTGCGCGTCCCGGGGGGGCGGAGGCGGCCGCGGCGGCGGGCGGGCGGAGCGGCGCTGACGCGGGCCGGGGGCGGGGCCGCCCGCGGGTCACGTGGGCGTGTTGTGGGGGGAGGGGCGCCGTCGCGCGGTCGGTTCCGGGCGGTTGGGCGCGAGCGGGCGAGCGAGCGAGCGAGGGGACGAGAGAGGCAGCCGCGCCCGCCGCCTGCCGCTCTGTATGCCGCTCTCCCCCGGCGCGGCCGCCGCCGATCGCAGCAGCAGGAGCCGCCGCCGCCGCGGTTGATGTGGTTGGGCCGGGGTGGAGGCCGCCGAGATGCCGCAGTCCAAGTCCCGGAAGATCGCCATCCTGGGCTACCGGTCTGTGGGTGAGTGGCGGCGCCGCGCGGCCTCCTCGCGCCGTCCCCGGCCGGGGGGACCTCTTGGGCGTCGGGACGCGGTGGGGCCTCGCGAAGTTTGGGGCCGGCGCGGCCATGTGGCGGGCGGGCGGGCGGGCGCGTTTCGTAACCACCATTTTGAGCGGAGGTGGCGGCGCGGTCTGGGCGGCGGCCGCGCGGCGCGCCGGGTGCGGGAGCTCGGCGCCCTTCCCGGGCTGGGGCGCCGGGGGGCCCGCGGGGCGGGCGGGCGTGTCCGCGGCGGGCCCGCGCGGGTGGGAGCCGCGCGCTCCGGCGGGCGGGCCGCACCTGTCCCCACCTGGCGCCGCGCGCGCCGCAGACGTGGCGGGCCGCCCGCCCCCCGCGGGTCCGACGGAGGCCCTGGGGTCCGGCCCCGGGAGCGACCCCGTGGGTTCTCTGCCATCGGTGGCGAAGTGGAGCCTTTTGGACGAATCGGGAACGTGTGACTCAACTTTCCCACCGCAGAGACCCAGCCCCCTCCCCCCTACCTGTTCGGAAGCCTCTGGACAGCTGCGGGCGGCGGCCCAAATAGGAAGGGAGAGGGGGGAACACTTCTCAACTCGGTGTCCTATTTTCCTTCTCGAAGAAAAAGGCCAGCAAATGGTAGCCAGGCTGCGGGAAGTAATCCCGAAGTCTTTTTGTTTGCCGGCGTCCCGGGTTTTTCTCCGCACCGAATGGCCGACAGGCCTGCGGAGCGGTGCGTGGCGGCGGCCTGGACCTGCTGGGCGCGGGAAGCGTGGCCTCGAGGCCGCGCCGGGCGGCGGGCGCCGCTCAACTTGAGGCTTCTGGGTGAGGCTTTATTGTCTGCCGCCAGCCGAAGCCCGGGAAAGCCCCGTCCGTCTTTCCGTGCCGTGTTGAGGAGGCGGCTGTCGTTCCGTCCCCCCCCCCCCCCCCCCGGTGGCCGAGGGGCTGGGGCGCCGCGCGCGGGCGCCGGGAAGCTCGCTAACGGCCGCCGCCCGCCCGTTGGCCGGGGTTCCGTTACGCTTTCCCTGGCGCTGGCTCACCCCCACTTTCCGCCGCCCGTGCCAGGGGCTGTGCTCTTTGACCAAGCTCAGGTCCGGCGTGCTTACTCATCCTGCCCCATCTCCCTCTCCCAAGGGCAGCGAGCAGGGCGGCGGAGAGGCTTGCCCGACGGGGGTGCCGGGCGCCGAGGATGGGGCAGCGCCGAACGAGAAGCCGGGACCGGGCAGGGTGGGTGCCTTGGCTTGACAGCTGTGGCCTAAAGTAGCCGAACATCCACCAAACACCAATGTAGAACCCGGTCTAACCTTTACTGATGGCCTAGATCACCGCGCCGGTGCTTCTCTGTTTTCCAAATTTCCTACACTGTATTTTGGGAACAGGGACCGTGACATGTCCTAGTTCCTGAGTGAGCTCACCAATCAGATCCATCACACCAATTATATACCTGGGTCACCAGTTTCAACGTCAACCCTGGAGAATGTCCACAGATCTAAACTTTAGCTCTTGACAGTTTTGAGATGGTAAAATGTTCTATCAGTTTGGTTAAAGAAGTTTCTTACATTCAGTAGCAACCCATTCTGTTTTGTCTTTATCCCTGCATGTTGCTAAGGACCTCTCTGATCCCTTTTTCTGCACGAACATTTCAACTGCTGTTAAGTGCTGTTTGTGGGGTCTTCAAATGGCTGCGGAGAGTGGGCTTGGTCTTTTGAGAATTATCTCAAATCGAGCTCACTGATTAACTTGCCAGTGGTACCATGCTGAAGACATATGAACGTGTGTTCTTAGGTTGTGATGTTTCATGATTCTAAAATGTTGGTCTATGTTGATTGGTGATAGTGTCAGAAATAAGCCTATTTCAGAACCACACATTTTTAGAATGTTCTCTTGGTATTGTCTTATGCCAGTTTGACTGTAGACTGCTTGTTGTGCCTTTGTCATGTGACAGGCTTCCAAGTTTGTCTTTAGTTCAAATTATGAAATACAATGATTGTTTTTGTTTTACTTCTTGGCTTTCAACTTCTGTCTTTTGGGAAGACTGAAAACTACCAATAGGGCAAATAATAATCCTTAGGTAATTTATACTTTTCCTGTTATATACAATGGTAAAGCTTTTAAGGACACGTCACCTATAGTTCAGTCTGGAATACAGCCAAGTAGCCCTACTGTAGGAGGAGGTAACTGAACTTAAAGTTTGCAATGTCTGTAAGCTGTGTCAGTCTGGTGTTTCTCACACTGGAATACTTTCTACAGAGAGCTTTTGTTAGACTAGTTTTCCTTTAGATCATAATCAAATGCTTGTCCAGCTAGGTTTGGTGTTGCACACCTGTAATCCCTGTACTTAGGAGACTGAGATGGGAATGTCATGAGGTTGAGCCTATCCTGGTTACATGGTGAGACCCTGCCTCAAACCAAAAAGCTGGCTGCCGGTGGCTCACACCTGGAGGCTAAGATCTGAAGATCACAGTTTGAAGCCAGCCCAGGGAAGGGTTTGAAACCAGTCCAGGCAAGAAAGTCCATGAGACTCTTTTTTTTTTTTTTGTGGGCCTGAACTCTGGGCCTGGTCGCTGTCCCTCAGCTCTTCAGCTCAAGGTTAGCGCTCTACCACTTGAGCCACAGCGCCACTTCCAGCTTTTTTCTTTTTGCTTATGTGGTGCTGAGGAATCGAACCCAGGGCCTCAGGCATGCAAGGCAAGCACTCTACCACTGAGCCACCTTCCCAGCCCTCCATGAGACTCTTTATCTCCAGTAAACTAACTGGAAGTGGGGCTGTAGCTTATGTGATAGGGCAACAGCCTTGAGGCAAAAGAAGCTCAGGGACAGTGCCCAGGCCCCTTGTGCGTGCACATGCACTCGCACGCGCGCGCGCGCGCGCACACACACACACACAAAGTATAAGCAGGTGCTTAACAGCATGTGATTTTTGTATACTCCAGGAGGGGTGTGGTCCAGTAGTGACTACTTTGTAGTTCAGTTTGAAATGACCTTTTTCAGAGTTGGGCATTGTTTTATACAAGAGCTCACATTTGTGATTATAATTTTTTTTTTTTTTTTTTTTTTTTTTTTGGTTGGTCGTGGGGCTTGAACTCTGGGCTTGGGCGCTGTCCCTGCGCTCTTCAGCTCAAGGCCAGTGCTCTACCACTTGAGCCACAGCGTCACTTCCTGTTTTCTAGTGGTTTATTGGAGATAAGAGTCTCACGGACTTTCCTGCCCAGGCTGGCTTTGAATCATGATCCTCAGACCTCAACTTTTAAGTACCACATGATACTTTTGATGTCATGTCATGTCATCTACACCTCTCCCAAAGTTATTTGTAGTCATTTCTCCATTGTTCTGTGGGTGTCTTTTTTTTTCTTTTGTCAGTTGTGGGCCCTGGCACTGTTCCTGCGTTCTTCAGCTTAGGCAAGTACTCTACCACTTGAGCCACAGCGCCACTTCCTCTGTGGATTTCCTCGTTCTGCACACTTCATGTAAATGAAAATGTGCAGGTGTAGTCTACATGTAGCGTATTTTCAAGCTTTATACTGTAGCTTGTATCAGGACTTCATTCCTGTTTGTGGCTGAATAATATTCCATTATGTGAATTTACCACATTTGCTTTAATTCATTCAACAACTGCGTATGTGAATAGTTTCTACTTTTTGACTGTTAATAATGCTGTTCTGAACATTTCTATACAATAGGCCTGTTTTCACTGTTTGGTTTCATGTGTTACATGTCTTCTGCTCATGTTCCTGGGCATGGACTTGGTGGGTGGAATGTGGCCTTGTTAACATTTTGAGGAGCTGCCCACGTTTTCGGAGTGGATGCCGCACTCTGCAGCCCCGCAGTGATGGGCTTCAGCTTCTCCGCGTCTTCACAGACACTGCTTACTGTCCTTTCTGGTTTTAAGCACCCTACTAACATGAAATAGTATCAAAAGTGGTTTGTAAATAATTTTCTTCCAGCTATGGGTTGACTTTTCACCCTGGTGGGTGGGGGGAAGGGTATGTTCTGGGAATCAAACCCAGGGCCTTGAACATGCTAAGCCAAATGCTCTGCCACTGAGTTATATACCTAGTACCAGCACACTTTCTGGAAGGTGTCCTTTGAAGAAAAAACCTTTAACTGGTTTAACTTTTTCTCTCTTTGGTCATTAGTGTTTTCTGATGTCGTATCTAGGCAACCATTGCCTAATCCTAGGACATGTATATTTGCTAAATTTTGGCAGTGTGCTACCTGGTTTTACTTCAAATTGGTAATCTCTTATTACTATTTCTTTTTTTCTTTTTTTTTTTTTTTTGGTCGGTCGTGGGGCTTGAACTCTGGGCCAGGGCGCTGTCCCTCAGCTCTTCAGCTCAAGGCGAACGCTCTACCACTTGAGCTACAGCGCCACTTCCGGTTTTCTGGTGGTTTATTGGAGATAGGAGTCTCACGGTCTTTCCTGCCCGGGCTGGCTTTGAACCGCGATCCTCAGATCTCAGCCTCCTGAGTAGCTAGGATTACAGGCGTGAGCCACCAGCGCCCGGCTCTTACTACTATTTCTTAAAAAAAATTGTCAAAGGGCTGGGAATGTAGCATAGCGGTAGAGTGCTTGTCTGGCACTCATGAAGCGCTGGGTTTGATTCCTCAGTACCATATAAACAGAAAAGGCCAGAAGTGGCACTGTGGCTAAGTGGTAGAGTGTCCCTGAGTAAAAGAAGCACAAGGACAGTGCGCAGGCCCTGAGTTCAAGCCCCAGAACGGGCAAAACAAACAAAAAAATCCAAACTGCCAGAAACCTGTGTTTGAAATAATAATAGTTTGTCCAGACTGGTGCAGACCTTTCTTGTGCTCATGCGTGTTCAAGCATCTTCTCTGGGCAACAGTCATCCTACTTCAGTATGTGGCACAGGTGCTTTAGTTTTCCCATTTTGTCACGTATATTATAAAGACAGACTTTTAAGGGCAGGATACAGTAAGCTTTGTCATTTTTACTGCTTCCTCAAGGTTATCTTAAAGCGAAAACAATTTTAAAAAATATGTCTTTGAGT